ATTCTTGGGAATAGGCATCTGCCAGGATGTCATAGCAGTTTCTCTTCTTTCGAGGCAGTGCTGCACTGCTTGAATAAGAACACTCCTTGGTTATATGGGTGTCTCTATCTTAGCCTGCCTCCCCTGCCAATGTCAGAGTAACTCAAAAGGAATCTATCTGTACATAGGTGGTCCTGCTATGGTGTGCACAGCTAAGAGCGGCTGCAGCTGTGGAGGACACCCACAGGAACTGTGCCTGGAGGGCCTTAAGTGTAGTGCTTTCTGGAAGAGAACCCACTCACTACCTGCTTCAAAGCAGGAACTCACCCAAGTGTGACTTTCAAGAAACTACCGAAGAAGACAGAATGGAAGGATGAAACTGCCAACCATATATCTTGTGTCAAATTCTGATTCTTAGTGAACCACTGCTCTCTCATGTACATAATGAGGGCAAATAGCGTGACTGGATAGATGATGTAGAACAGTAAGTACATAACAACTTATTCCCTGAATTAGTTAATTCAGGCCCCTCACAGGAGGCTTCTTTGATATCATAAAGCTATTACTTTGGTCAGTAGAAGTGTCTTCATGTCCCTGGGGCCCCAAGAGACGCAGGATGAAAGAAAGCCAAACCTTCCAGGCAGCTTTGCTGGTAGCTAGATGATTATAAGAGTCCCTCAGATTTGCCCAAGGGATAAGATCTCTGCTGGGTGGAGTCAAGGATGCTAAGAGTCTATGAACAGTGTCTGAGCCTTGATACCAACAGGCCCTGGGAAGGCCTGTTCCTTCTATATAATTGCATATCTATCTAGACTGCAGGAACAGAGGGGTCCTATGGGTGGGTACACAAACCAAATCGGACAGCTCAGCTTTCCTCCTGTCTGAGAGCAGGACACATCAAAAGGTGGCAACAGGATCCCCCAGGAAGCTGCCTGAACCTGACATCAGCTCTCCTCAGCTACAGAGGAAAATCCAAACTAACTAGAAAGACCTGGCCCCAAGGGACATTATGTGTGCACTGGAACCTAAGCCAAAGTCACAGTCAAAAGCAAAGCTTTTATTTCCTGGGACAAGAGAGACAAATATGGCGCCTTCCCCCCAAAGTTCTCACTTGGCACAGTTCTATGAAGAGCTGGTGAGACAAAAGACACAGCCCTGATTCTAGATAGTCCCCTATATAGATAGGGACTCAAAAGAGATTAAGACAGAAAAAGACTCACAAGTTCTAAGTCTGCCTGAACCTAAAAAAACAAAAATAAAAAACAAAAAAAAAAACAACAAAACCCTGTTAACAATGGATCCCCCATAGCCAAGTGATCATTCTACTTAAAAAAAAAAAAAAAAAAAAAAAAAAAAAAAAAAAAAAAAGTCACATTCTTATTTCTTGTGGGTGTAACAATCTACTTCAGGCCAGAGAACGGCAAGTCCCTCCCCGTCCCCACACAGAGGGGGTGTGGACTGTGGCCAAGTCGATGCTCCATACACTAGGTTAAACTCAACTTCTGGGACAGAGACCAAAGGCCCTGGCCCTGTAGCCACCACAGCTTTCCTTGAGGCTTTCCTAGACCAGGACACTAAATCTCATAGAAGAAACTATAGGTCTCCCACAGGAAACCTACTAAGTTCTCTAGCTCCTGCCTGCACTTAGGAATACTTGACAGCCAAAGTTAGGCTGTCCACACTAATTATTCATTGAATTCAATTATAAAGATATCTGAAGACAAGTTAAAATCTAAACTCTACACCTTAATATCTTTATAAACTTCAACAATAACAAAAATCACACCTAATTCTTTGATGGTAGGCAACTGGCAAGAGCTCCCATTTTCTATGACCCCACTTCTCCACAGACACCTCAGCTCACATCAATGTCTTATTTCCTTCAAGAAGGCTTTAGCTGCGCATTCCAAGAGCTTGGCTTCAAACGGCCCTAGTAACAGAAATGTGTGTACTGGACCACAGGCTTGATTATTAATACAGAGGCCTCCATATCACTGCCTCCCTGGTAAAGTGTGGGCTATGGCACAGAAACATCGGTTTGGCTGGTTTCCTGCTTGGGATAAAGCTTATGAGTGATTCATTAGAAATGGCTCTTTTCTAAAAGTGACAGAGAAAGACAGGCCACATTGAGCAATTGTTAAAAACAGATACACCGTTCTAGAACAATCAACAGGACAAGACGGCCTTATTTTAAAGGCAAACCACCAATGTTCTTACAGAAGCAAAGCTACTAAGCATAGCATGCTTCCATCTCAGCCTAAGTACACACCTAAAATCTACTGCTTCATCAAAACAATCTGTTTGGGGCACTTTCACAATACTTATAAAATATATACAGTTAGGTCCATTTTGTGGGTAATAAAACCAAAGCTCAGAGTGGTGAAATAACCAGCCTGGTTATCACATAGCCAATAAACCACAGACAGAAGACTCAATCCCTACACTGTAGTTGTACTCTCCATGGGAATTCTACCTTTCCAGCCCAAAGTGTATTACCCCTTTTCATTGTTGCAACAGCAACCACCACCACTACCCTGTCTGCACTCACCTAAGTGTCATTCACTGAGTTTCTCATGCTGCTATTGGGCCAGGCACATTTACCATTCCCAGACACAAGTCTAACAACGTTACCTGGAGACCAGGGTATTCAAGTTCTAGCCCTTCATTTGGGACCATTCTCAAATAAATCCATTTCTGTGCAAAATTCTAACTACCACATACTTTTCATATTCTCTTAACAGTAAAACTCCTCAGAAAGAGCCATCTGCATTACTGCTTCTCTATCTGCTTATGTAGTTTGGGAATTTATGAGGCTATAGTTTTCATAGTGATAACAGGACATTATTTGCTTTTTCCACTTTCATTCTCCCTTAGTATACATAATGGAGTTTTCCAGAAGTTACATGATACATTGTCTGTATCATATTATAATGCAGAAGCCAATGAGACTATTTAAGAAGTGAGAGTTAAAAAGATTTGCAAAAACATTGCTAGTCATCTTTAATTTAAAAAATTTTTCTTAATATAATTACTTATGACAATAACTGGTATATTGTTACTAATTCATTCATCCAAAGAGAATGTTTAAAAAAAAAAATGTTTCTTGGGGGCTGCAGATAGAACTCAGTAGTTAAGGGGCTTGTTGCTCTTTGCGGACTGGAGTTTGGGTTCTGGCACCCACATCAGGCAGCTCACAACCACCTGTAATTCCAGCCTCAAGGGACCATCACTCTCTTCTGTCTTACACAGAGCTAAATAAGCCACCTGACTTCTTGTTTTCTGTTCGTGCACACATCCTCCTCTGCTAGCTCACTTTCATTTTCCAGATCAGTACACTACTCATTATCACGAGACAGTTCTTCCAAAAAAAAACTTAGGATGCATTCTCTCAACTATTAGCATGTGCTCAGAGGTGGGCACTGTCAGGGGACCCACCCTGATCTTGTCCCTGTAAAAGACCCTAACTACATACAACACTTAGCCTTTCTAAACAGAAGGTCCGCATTCACAGTCAGCTTTCACAATGAAATATAAACTCTAACAGTGAAAAGTTTTGGTTTTGCCTACTAATGTATCATTTATGCCTAAAACAGTATCTAACAAAATGTTTCCCAATAAAAATACTGAATAAATGTAATTAGTTTGGCACTGAGGGGGAAACTAGGTCAAAGGCCCTTTCCAACTTGAGCTTCTGACCCTCTAGCTAAGCACATACAGCTCATCTGACAACAGAACCGAAGCCTGGGGCTCCAGTCACACAGCTGGGGCCCGTCCTGCGATTCAAAGTGCTCAGCTAGGACAGCACAAAACAAGCCAGTCAAGTTGGCACCACAAGCACAGCATTGATTAGTTGTTGGAACCACAAAATGAAATGACCCAAGAACTTAGGACATGTACCCCAAATCAAGTCCCTAACTATTCCCACTGCTCTCAAGGGAACTTAATTCTTTTAGGTAAAGTTACACTTCTCTTTAGCTACAATTTTGCCCTGTAAACCAGCACAAAACTCATGTGCCGATCCACAGATGCCTGGCTCCCAACTGGGACAATCCCATCATCCTAACCTAAATTCAGGCCCTTTTCCTGACGACAACCTTTCTCTTTATGTCTTTCAAACATGCAAAGGCTAGAATGGAAATTGAAAGCTTTTGTCAGAAATACAGTTAGAGCACTGGCAGCCAACTCTACAGAACAAGACAGATGCACGCTGCTCAGCTCGGTACAACTCATTTTCTGCAGAGGTTTGGAGGAAGAGAAGCCAGGCCCTGTGCTGGATGGTCCTATGAAACCAGCACTTTCCCACAACCACTTCGCCTTAAGACAGAAGGAAAATAAATACAGTTTATTTCTACCATGTCATCCTGATAATCCAGGAAATAGGGGACAGGTGAATTCAAGTAAGATATACCTGCCCTTGATATAATTGGACGAGATAAGTCACAGTATGTTTTGTAAAAATACCTATCATATATGGTGGTCAATTTCTAGTTTCCTTTGTCCACATCTCAGACTCTAGTCTAGTCTGTTTTGGACAGAAAAAAAACAAATCTCTTGATACCCTCCATTCTTTATCTTAGCCGGTCCCTGTCTTCTTCCATCTCTATATTATCTATATTCCACACTAAGCCAAACTGGTCTATTCTCTCCAAGTCCCAATTTTCTCCAGCACAAGGTCTTATGTGGACAGAACTGGACACATGAACAGCAAAAACACAGTTGGAATAAGGTTCCTTCTCTAAAAACTGTGCTCCTTTCAGCACCATTTTACAGGGAGAATGTATTACTTGATAATAAGAAAAGGGGTTTCTAAAGAACTTGGGAAAAGACTTCTCTCTACTTTTCATTCTGTACTCAAATAATTTGAGTACTATCTCCATTACCAAGATTTGGGGGCCAATCTGTATCAACAAGATTTACTTCTTCCTGGCCCTGCATTTTCTCTACAACTCCAGAGGTCAGCCCAGCACAGACACAGAGCCAGCCCAGGGAGTGTGTATGCACAAGAACAGAAAAGCACTCACCTAGTTTAAAAACACCCAAGACGTTCAGCCCTGGAGTTTAAGCAGCACATGTGACCTGGTCCATTCGGGTTTCAAGTTCAAAAGCATCAGGTCGGTCCTGTGGGTTAGCAGCTAACATGTCTTTCAAGAGCTGCTTGACCCCCTCAGACATGGAAGTCCTACGTTTCTGGGGGATATGCAACTCCATCTTTGGGTTTTCTAGCAGCGCCTCACCAACAGGGACGATCTCAGTCCCCTGTTTAATGTAGGTCCCCAGGAGCTCCTTCTTGGTTTCAGAGTCAATAAAAGTAATTCTTTCTATCATTGCCCAGATGATAATGCCCAGGGCAAAGATGTCCGCCTTGGCTGTATAGTGTCCCTCCCAGACTTCAGGCGCCATGTAGAAGTCTGAACCACAAGCTGAGGACAGCCAGTATTTATTCACATTCACATTTTTGTTATCTTGATTGCCCTCTTTGCCTCGAGGTGCCAGCCCTGCACAGACCTTGCTCAGTCCAAAGTCTGCCACCTTGAGGATGGGGGTGCCAGACCGCTCTGTGATGAGGATGTTGTCTGGCTTTAGGTCCCTGTGCACGATGTGGTTTTTGTGCAGGAAGGCAATGGCGCTTGTAAGCTGTAGCATGAAGCTTTTGTTGGTGGCTGGGTCTGGTCTCCGGGACAGGACATACTGATTGAGGTCTCCACCTTCACAGTACTCCATGACAAACCAGAGATAGCAGGGCTCCTCAGCATAGCCCAGGATCCTTTCTCCTAAACCAAAGGACAGGAAAGAGCTTGAGTGGACATTCAGATCACTACAGTAAAGAAAGAAGACGGTAACAAATAACTGTGCCAAGAGGATCTACACAAATGGCACCAAGCAAGTTTTATGCCCACAGTCCACTTCTACCCATACAGAACAGGTCAAGGTATGGCAGCGGCATTAGGGCCTAGTGTCAAGCACCTGGGATTTGAATTTAAGAGTCTCTGTTTACTGCCACCTATTTGGCTTTGAGGCCATTTTGTTTATATTTTCAAACCAGTGTTTGAAAAAATATCACTTCTTTGTAGGGCTGATGGACATATGAGAATAAAAAGCAAACAAAAAGCTTGTGTAAAGTGTGTGCTGTTTCTGCTATTACCATTTAGATATCAGCCCAGCTTCTATGACTGCTAGCCCAGACCAGGCATTCTTGCTCTTTCCTGATGAGCGTAAGCAATTAACACAAACAAAATGGCATTACAATTTTATTTCAGAAGTACACTCCAATCCATCCATCCATGTCTTCTGCTAGTTCACCATATGCCTAGTCCAAGCTAGGTCTGTATCATGCCCCTGGCTCTACAGAGGTGATCATAAGTGGGTGGAATACTGGCAGTAAGGTCAACTTCCATCAAAGATCGGCACACACATGCAAGAACTCCGGGCAGAGATGAAAAAGATAATGGCACACAGGGACAGGTGGACCAGAAAGGTATAAATGAATGGGAGATGGGATTAAGAAAATGTAGCCTGACGGGACAGTGAAATCTGAAGCAGATGAGTAAGGCAATCTCAGGTTATGTGGATTCAAAACCAGGAAAGCTGGTGACTGGCACTGCCATGCCAATCCCAATATTCTTCATAAAGCAACTGATGGAATACTGAGCCCTTAGGTGGAAGTTATTGGACAACAAATGTCCTATAAGCTAAGTCCAAGTAGGCAGATGTCTTACTTTGACAATAGACTGAAACTGTGTGTGCCGGCACATGCCTTTAATCCTAGTACTTTGGAGGCAGAGGCAAGTGGCTCTCTAGGAGTTTGAGGCCAGCCTGGTCTACATAGCAAGTTCCAGGACAGCCAAGGACTACATAGTCGAGACCCTATCTCAAAAACAAATGGAAGGAAGGAAGGAAGGAAGGAAGGAAGGAAGGAAGGAAGGAAGGAAGGAAGGAAGGAAGGAAGGAAGGAAGGAAATAACACAGACAGACCATACATTGACTGATCATCTGTTAAATGAGTCAAGGCCTGAAAACAGGTGCCTTGGCTCAGAGTGTACACCGTCCCAACAGACAAGGCTAACACTTCCTCAGCTTCTGGAAGGGGGCTCTTATTCCTGGAGACTGGAGATTTGCTACAGTATCATACTACAGTGATTCATAAGCCAGATGAGTCTCTGCTTCCCCAGTGGCCCTTAAATCACTAAGATACAGTCTACTAAAGCCAGAGAGGTAAGAAGGGACATGACAAAAGTTTTTGGTTTTAACCACAATCTGACAGACCTCACTTCCCTTGTAATTGTACAATTTATTTGCTTATATTACTCCCAATCAAAGTAAAATGAATTGAACCAGTTCAGGGCATTTGGTCTTTTTAAAACTCAAGTGTTACTGTTCCCCCGCTTCCTGCTCTATAATCCTTTTTGGTCACTAGCAAGCAAGCAGAGGCTATCTAAATAACTGAAAAATGAAGCCACAATCAGAAGCCCAAACCCATCTAAATGGTAAAAGAAGCAGAAAAGGGACAGCAAGAAATGTTCCCTGACAGTACAGCCAGAGAGGAAAGCCATCAAATTCCTTTCTGCAAAGACCATATCAAAGAGCAATGAAACTTCTAATAGATATGGACAGGAAAATTATTATTTTATACACAAAGCTGGTAACTATGGTAACTAAGGGAAATAAAGGAACACAAGTTGGCCAAAGAAACTGTAACACAGATCTAAGTTTTAAGAATCCAGGGAAAGAAAAAAGTTAGGTTAAAAGTGCCCTAAGCTAGTCTGTTGGTGGGACAGAGCCTGAAGACCCTAGAGGAGCCCTGTGACAGAAATGTTTGACAGAAGCAGCATTCTCATAACCCATGCAACATCACTGAGCAAACAGGTGGAAAAACGTAGAATTCCTTGGCAGGGCAGTCAAGGTCTGGGTTTTCTTCAGAGCACGCATGCTTTCATGTTGGAGTCCCAACTGCCCACCTAGGACACAGAGGAGACACTAAGACTGACTCCAGCCTTTCCCTCCTACCTACCTGGGCTCCTGCCAACTCATGACCAAGACCAAGAGAGGAGACACAGACAATGTCTGTGATGTCTATGGAGAAGCAAGCCAAAGTCAAGAAACCAGGACAAACAGACCAGGAAATAGTCTGAGTGAGCAACCCCCAGCCCCACCCTCTGGTCTAATGGATTATTTTTAGCTCTTTGGCACAAATGGAAGGAGACCAGAACCTTGGAAAAACCCCTGACCTCTGAGTTTCAGAAGTCTTACCCATCAAATCTGAGGATTTAACAGTACCTGACACCAGTCAGAGAACTATGTCACAGGAATAGAACATATTTTGCAGAGCAGAAGATACTTTTGGAGAATTATCTACTGACCATAACTAACATCCTCATCACCACTCAAACCCAGGTCCTTCAAAATCAACTGGGCAGCAAGGTGCAGCTGCGGAACCCCAAAGAGGGCATCAGATTCCCGTCTCCCGGAGTAGGAGTTGGGAAGCAAACTAAGGTCCTCTGGAAGAGCAAGAAATCCTCTTCTTAACCATTGTATTCTATTTTATTTTTTTGGTTTTTGAGACAGTCTTGATGTGTCTCCAGCCTAGAATTACAGGTGTGCCACCACACTTAAGTTTGGAAATCACTGATTTCAATAATCCCAGTGCAATACAGGCCAAAGAATATTTAACTTGTTTAGGCAAAAGATACAATTTAGAACAACAACAACAAAAAAAGGGTACATTGTTCCATCTACATCACATTCCTTGAGCTATGACAGCCGAAGCCTACATTTTTCCCAGGACCAGGAGAGGTTAACTTGTGCAAGGGCATGTCTGGGAGACATTAGATGAACAAATCCCACTGCAGGCCGAGGAGCGGGAAGACAGATGAGCAGCTAAGAAGTTGTTAGGAGGGGCTGAAACTGAGAATGAGGATGGTCAAGAGAGGAAGCCAGAAAGAGGCACGGTAAAAGATTTGATGGTTTACATGGGAATTTAGTAACTAATCTCCTGTGATAATCAAAGAATCCAAAGCATTCTCTGTCCCTGCTCCGAACTGTAATCCTGTTAATCCTGATAATTCTGCCCCATTTTCAGGTGAGAAGACTGAGGCTCAAAAGATTAACTATTTGTCTTTCATCTTGAAACTAACTGGGGGCACTTTTGACTCAGAACTCCTCATTCACAGCTTTATTGTTTCATGGTGCTAGCAGCAATTTCACACTTGGATATTATTATTTTTTTATACAAACTCCTTATATGCAGGCTTTTGTATACACCAAATAATTTAACCTTCATTAAGTCCATTGTGCTAGATTATCCAAGACAGAAAATACAAGTTCCTTTCTATGGTACAGAATTTGATTGACTTAAATGTGCTTTGTGAGACCTACTGATCAGGTCAACTAAGTAAGCATCCAGAATTTGAGTCACTAGGGAGGATTCCTACCTAGCCCTAAGGATAGGGCTGAAGGGTAAATTCAAGGTGAACTGATACTCTACTAGGGAAGCTAAGGTCTCCCTGAGAGTATACACTATAAAAAGCCTCACCCAATGCAATCCCAATTAACCAATGTTCTCAATTAAGACAGGGTGGCTTCTATCTCCTGGGGCTAGTTCCTAAAATCCCTACATATAGAAGGAAAATACTGAGTAGCAAGAAAAAGGTTTGTACAATTGCCACCAAGGCATCTAAGAACAGGTCAGAAAGCAGGTACAGTGGCTTTGGCTGCGGAGATCCATAGATGGTACCAACAGAAAGAGCAGTGCCGGAAGCATTGATAAAACAATGTAACAGACAGCAGCAACTAGTATGGATGATTCATTAGTATTAAATGCCACTAGTAAAAATACAACTGCACAATTTTACAAGCAAAACAAACCACAATTCTAGACCTGAAGCCCACATTTTCAAGCACACCCAAAAGACAAATCACAATCAAGGTCTCTACTTGAATCCTAACTAGATTACCTGTTTAGCTATTTCACACTTCAAGTTTTGGATACCTCACCTGAAAAAGACACTCATAGTATCCATTTCAAAAGATGGTCATGAAGGCTGAATGGGCTATGATATAAAGCTTTTACACACCTGAAACAAATCAGCAAGGTTTTATTTGTTTCTGGTATTTATGTACTTACTTACTTGGGTCTCACACTGGCTTAGGACTTACTCTGTAGTCCTGGCTGACCTTGAATTCAAAGCAATCATCCTGTCTCACCCTTAAAGTGCTAGGATTACAGATGTGAGCCACCACAATTGGCTTCATCCAGTAAATTTCAGTAAAATTGGGGATAAAGCCTTTGGACCCTAACTCCGTTGTTCTATTGTACCCCAGGAATTTTGAAGGCCCCAATGCCCCTTTTACCTATGTCAAGACAGCCAAATATCACCCAACTCTGCCTAGCTAGCTAATCTCTAAATTCCAAGGCCTAAGCCATATTAGTAGGGAATTCAGTTGCTTTATGGAAGCCTGGGCAAAGGATGACTACCTTGCCCAGAGCCCCTTCCGTTTCCTTAGGCATTAGTAGCCAGAAGAGTTGACAGTAGTTAATTCACTTCCAGACTCAGATTCCCCTACACAAGGTCTTGTGTCAGCCGCTACTGAGACTCTCAACAAGAACCTGTTCCTAAGATGCCACCACCTGTGAGCATAATCACTTTGGTGCACACATCTTGTGAAGCAAAGCCTGCAAAGCCTCTTGCTCATCAACCTGGCTCACAGAAGCACTGGTAGGGAGGAAGGACGGCTGCCCAAATGTCCAGGTCAAACCCATCTTGGGCTACCAAAAGCATGCTTATCAAATAACAAGCTAAATTTCTAGTTTTCTAAATTCTAAATTTCTAGTTTCATGAGAGTCCAGAATTCCTATGTTTGAGGTACGCTGGGGTCAGTCTTTACTCAGACGATTTTGACTAGGGCAACAAATTTCTGAGTGTGAAAAGGAGTGAGGCTTGCTTGCTTTTTTTCTAAGTGACAATGACCTTAAACTTTGTTTTAGGTACATTTAGGACAGGTGTGTTTTTTTTTAAGGAAAAAAAAAAAAAAAGATGATAAAAGCAACTGTTTTTAATTCCCCTTTTCCTTAAAGGACCTCAAAGTTGAAGGCACCTGTCCTGAATCAATTAGATTTATAGGACTGGTAATATGTTTTTTAAAGCCTTAGAGCTAGTCAGTCAGTGTTGTGCCAAGAGTTGTCCATTATTTCAATTTGGGCAAGTCCTGTCCTCCTTTCAGAGCTCCTATTTCTTTAGGAAACAAGGCTAAGGGCTAGGGACAGAACCCTGTTGGAAGAGTTTGCCTAGCATACTCTGAGCCCTAAGCTTAATCCTCAACAGCACATGAACTGTGCTGTGAGTATGATAGTGCTTTCCTTTAGCCCCGGTACTCAAAGCAGAGGATCCTTAGTTCAAAGCCATCTTTGGCAACCTAGTAAGCTCAAGGCCAGCCTGAGGCTCATGAGACCCTATCCCTGATAGTATGCCTCCCACAGAAGGTCTGACCACACTGTATTTCCAAGCAGGGCTTGTTTGGTCCATGCTCAGAAAAGAATTTAAACCACAGAAACCAATGGAGTGGGATATAACTAAGAACATAGTTTTTCTTTCTTTTTTGAAATTTATTTTGGATACTTATTTATACATCACGTTATTTCTGTAAACTATAAAATTTCTTTTTGTGTATTCACTAGAAGCTGAGGAATGGGAGAGACTAACTATTCTCTTGCCCTAATACTCTGCCACTTAAGGCCTGGGCACTGTTTGAGATCACCCTTTCTGCTAACTCTTCATTCTCCTCTTAACTCTCTCTACAACCCTCTGGTTAATGAACTAACCTGTCACACTGTGACAGTGACCCTGATCACTATATAAGCCTTCAAATTTTCCAAATAACCATAAAGGCTAAAGAAGTGTTTTGTTTTCATCCCCCCCGCCCCAATACTACCAAAGGCATGCAGTAAATCACCCTAAATTACAAGAAACATGGCAGAGAGCTTTCAGGTTTAAGAAAAGCTATCCCTGGATATCTCTCGAATTCCTTTCAGCTCTGATATCACTGGACAACAAGAGCATGCTAAAAACCCAGGGCCACAGGACAGATCAAGAGCAATGTATCTTGGATATTAGAGTCAAGAAAACTTAACCTGGAAAAGTCTGAATCTTTGTTTTCCAGACAACTGGCTATGAACTATTTTACTTGCTAAATTGGCATATGGCATTATAAGTTTAGCTGTCATTTTCATAAGTAGAGGCAATACATAGTAAGACTCCAAATTAAAACAGACAATATTAAATATGTGGCCAAAATGGAAAAAAAAAAATTCTCTAGTTTTAGCTTACAATGGGAGGATGAAAAAAAACTAGTGTTGCTTTCAACCTACTATTCCTACCACACAGGAAATGTGTTCCATAGTCAAAGTTTGGGAAACTTCAATAAGAACACAAATCTCTAAGAGGATGAAGATGAAATTCAGAAAGTAGTCTGACCTTAATGGGGCAGTGGATTCCTTATAGATATATTGACATTGTCAGCATGCACCACAACCTTGTGACAGAGATGGCCAATCTTAGAGAAAAGCTCATTCCCCGGGGGGTTTTCAACTTGTCCCGTGTCATCCATCAATTCAGAACAAGCCAGGACTGCATGTAAGCCTCAAACTCCAGGGTGATAAACACTTGCCATGTTGCCACTGTTTACTGTAAAATTCTTTTAAAATGCTATGTGAAGAAAGTTTTAAAGCATTTGTATACCAAGAGAATTAGCAAGGTCTGTTAAATGAAGTTCAAGCTTCAAGCTGGCAGAATCAACGACCTGAGCTTAGAAGGTACTGTTTGGCAATGCAAATTCATTCAGCCCAATGCAGTATTAAAACATGGGCATATAAACATTCATTAAGGATGTTTCATCCGAATGCATGCCATCAAGAAATTAGTGTATTAAAAAACTAAGAAAGTGATGAGAATGAAAGCAAAGTAGAGGACTCTACCTAAGAAAGAAAACGCATCCACCGTCCTGGAAATGATGGCCTTTTCCGAATGGCCCCACCACACCATCCAAACCATCTTTAAATCGCTTCAAGACTCTGCAAGGAATTCTCCTAGCATCTTACAGTAAAATCTGACAAATGAGATGCTCCAACAAGATTTTAGAAAATCGAGCCCTAAGTCCCACCCTTTCTTCTAAGCTCACCCTCAGGTAGGAAAAGCAGGGTTACACCTGTGAAGATCTTTGCCTACAAAAAAGTCTGGGTTCAAGGACACGGGAACTTGAAGCAAGGAGTCCATCTCTTTCAAGCTGATTAACCTTAATCAAGTTGTACTTGTTCCCTCTAAGGCTTAGTTTCTCTATTTATAGAATGGAGACAGAATTTACTTTTGGATCTATTATCCAAAATTGTTTTGGTGCTCAGATTACAGTTGGGATTAGATTAGCTGTTCTTCCCCAGGACTCCCCTGCCCCAGCAAGTCTCCTCCACCTTACTACCTCTCTCCTCCAGTAAGTAGTTCACCCAGTAATGCCATCATTTTGGCCTCGAGGAGTTTTTTTTGTTTTTTTCTGTAAAACTTCTCAGCCAGCCCTAGAGGTTATGAAAACGACTGAGATTGTAAAATAACAGGAAAAGATGTAACATATTTTGTTATGTGACATCTCTTGGCCCACCAGTGGGGGTTATTACTGTGTGTGAGTTATTAACCTGCATGCCTCTGGGACCAAGCTGAAAACCAACTGAATGATTGTCTGCCCTCGGGTAAAGGGGTGGGGTTCTCAGAAGAAACCTCACACTTGGAGGCTGGGGAATGGACTGGAAAGACATCAGGAAAATAGAAAGCAGGAAAGGAGACCACATGGGTGGGTCTGCTAATTTTTTCCTCAATGTCATGAAAAGAAAAAGAGGCCTAAGGGGGCTCTGCAGCTCTGCCAACAACTTTGAATCCCACCAGGCCTGCTCATCCATCTTTAAAATGCTGGGTAATCGAGGCTCACACCTACTGAGTACTTACAAGCTTAGCACTTAGTGAGCTTGTTGTGGAATGCCAGCTAGCTGTTTAGGGAACAGACTGATTTTGCAGCATTCAGAAAAGAGAGGTGGTGTCAAGGCTGGGACAAGGGCCTTAGGGAGCCAGAGTTATTAGGGCTGAGTGGTTCTGAGAACAAGAGGGTCCAGGAGAGGGCAGGACTGCCTGCTGTACTCTACCTTTGAGCGAGGTCTCCACCAGGCGCAGGTACAGTTGTGAGTTCTTGTTGCCGTGACTCATGCGCTGGGCTAACCCGTTGCGCTGCAGGACGCACTCCTCAAACTGCACGATATTCTGGTGCCGCCGCTTGAGGCTGGTCAGGGCCCAGAATTCTGCTAGGGCCAACTCCACGTTTTCGGGAGCGTCGCAGCGGATCTTCTTGACGGCCACCCTGGCCCCACTGCGCCCAGCTACAGCCTCATAAACCACGCCGTAGCTGCCGCGCCCGATCTCCGCCAACAGGCTGTAGCGCGGGCGCGCAAGGCCAACAACGCCACCGCCATCCGGCCGCCGCCGGGCCAAGAAGGCCTCGCCCGGGGCCTCGGCTACAGCCGGATCCATGGCCTGGGCCGCCGGCCTCAGCTTCTCGCAGAACACCCGGGGCACTGGGCTTCGCCTTTTCCGCTCTGGGCTTTTTGTCCCTCTGCGGGCTCCGTTCTCTTTCCCCGTTTCCATGGCTGCGGGGGGCGGGGGGAGCAGCAACGGCGCCGCCCGGGGCCCCCCGGCCTCATCCCTCCGTCTAGCCCGGAGATGCGGAGGAGCGGTACCTTGGATTACGATCTGGGGGCGAAAGGATCGGTTAAAACCACTAGGCCGAGAGGGGCAGACAAGGGGCTCCGAGGGTCCAAGCGCCCCGCCTCCGCCGCCCGTCGCGGCCCCTTTAAGAAGGAGCCGCCGCCTCGCACTGAACGGGGGAAGGGCAAGGAAAGCGGGAAAGACGGAACCACCGGGAAGTACGGAGGGAGGACCGGAAACCCAAGCCCAAACCGTCCCCTCTCTCCGCCGGCTTCTCCGTCAGGAGTGGGGAGAAGGAAACGGCGGGGGCCCCGCCATCCACGGCGGGCGTGTGCCCCGGGCCGCCCGAACTTCCCCGGGCTCGGCCTCCTCCCAACAGCCCTCTCCGGGTAAACAGCCCTGTCGCTGCCCTCGGCCGCGCCGCCGGTCGGCCCGAGCCCCGGGGACGGCGGGTGGAGGGAGAGAGAGCGGCTGCGAGCTCGGCTCCGGCCCTCCCCCGTCCGCTCGCTCCTACCTGGCCGGCGCTGTTCCTCTTCCGGGCGGACCGGTTCCCCCCCGGAGCCCGCGCCGGGCGCCGGTCGGTTCCCGGGCGGGGCGGTCTGCGCAGCCGAGCGGGGCGCGCGGCCGGCGCTCCCGGGGTGACAGCGGCGGCCCCGGGGGAAGCCTGGGCTGCCGGGCTCCCGCGGCCGTCCTCGAGTTCGCGCCAGCTGAGCACTTTACGTAACCTCTTTATGTAAGCTGCACCTCCCGCCGCTGCCCTGGTCAGCGGGGACTCCTGGTGGCCCATCCCCCAGGAGGCCAGCCGAGGGCCGCGCCGCCTCCGAGCCGCCGAGGTCGGCCCGGCAGCCGCCACCGCCCGGAGCCAATCACCGGCGAGGACACCCAACCAACAAAAAGAGCGCGCCAAAATGCCGCGGCTGGCACCCAGGGCCCTGCCGAGCCGTCTGCGCTCCGCCGGCGCCTCTCCGGACCCGTCCTTCATCCCCGCTCCACGCCCGCAGCCGTCACTTTATGCTGATTGGGTGGAAGGCGTAGGTTTAATTGATTCGCGGCTCGGGTCTGGGTTAAAACGCCGATCCTCACGCCCACTAACGACCCCCAGGGATCTCAGCCGCGCGTAATCCTCCCTCTCCTCCTCTGCCAAACCGGGTGGTCCTCACTCCCCAGATTGCAAAGGAGCAGATGAAATATGATGGCTGGCTAATTGAGTGCCCGGATATAAGCTGCTTCGGGCTTGGGTTTTGGATACCCTCCACCACCGCCCATTGTAGGGGGCGGGCGCACAATGGCCGAGTAGTTAAGAATGATCTTGAACTCTTCTCCTTGCCTTACATCCTGAGTAATGAGATTAAAGGCGTGCGCCACCACACCCGGTTTATACAGCGGATTTGTACAGGGCTAGGAATCAAACCCGGGGCTTTGTGCATGCTAGGCAAGCACTTTGCCAACTGAGCTACAATCCGCAGCCCTCAGCCATGAAATTTTAAATGGTTTGTGCCCTGCTTTGTACCCCATTGCCTAAAAGATGTTCAGTATTTTGTAAGCTGAGTTTCCAGAGATTGAAGTACATAACTACTCCATTTTCAGTCTGGGGAAAGAGCAGTGGACATGAGCAGTGTTTGCCTTAATTGCAGGGTTTTTTTTTTTTGCCACTGGCAGAGACAGCCAACCTTGTGTCTTCAGAGAGGTTTCAGAGTTAAAGTACTTAGAACAGAGTTTCACAAACTAAATGTTAGACATTGTAGTTAAACAAGCACACAAAATAGATTAAATGTAAAAGAATGAACTGGAGTTTCTGGAATTTATGACTACTGTATATGTAAAGTCAAGAGTATAAGAATACTAGAGATGTCTCACCCCTTTTTGCCAGAATTACATTGTTTTACTATATTTTCATGTTCTGTGTACATAAATATATGTATATTTTGTATATGTGTATATCCTTTTATAAATCCTTTGAATTTGGATGTCATACTCCATATATATATTTATATTTTTAAAATTAATTTCCTGAGGGCAAAGATATTTTCTGCACAGACTCAATACCGTGATCAAAATCAGGAACTTTAATGTATAATACTATGCTTTTGTTTAATATGCCATATCAAGTTTTACCGATTTCCTTTCCTTTCTCTTTTAGTCCAATATGATACCAGTCATCAGTACCCATCCTACTGGATAAGGGTTCGAATAACCTCATTTAACTTAAACTTTTTCTTGTTGCCTTTTTTTTTTTTTTTTTCTCTGTGTAGCCTTGGCTGTTTTGGAATTTAATCTGTAGACCTGTTTTGGAATTTAATCTGTAGTTCTGGTCTTGAACTCAGGGATGTGCAGGTCTCTGCTATCAAGGTGCTGGGATTAAAGGTGTGTACCAGCACACCCAACAACTTAAGTTTTTAAACTTTAAAGGAGTTCTCTCCAAATCTGGTTATTAACCTATTGGGAGTTACAACTTTAACACATGATTTTGAGGTAGTCACATAATTCAGTTGGTAGCAATCTCTTTGGAAAATGACATTGGTCAGAGTAAAGATGGGCAAGAAGCTAGTCATGTCAAAATAGTGGTGGGAGCGTTGCAGGGAAAGAACCTCAAGTAAAAAATAGGAACAAGACCAGTGCTAAGCTTTAGTCAATTAAAGCCACTATTAGAATGTAAAATGGCCTGGGTGAGGGGTCAGTGGTAGAACCACTTGCCAAGTGAAACTGTTGACTTGATTTTAATCCCCGAGCTGACAAAAAGGGAAAAGAACCAATTCTGAAAAACTTCTATATCCTCTACCCTGGTACCCACAATCATACAGAGATTGGTGATTAAACCCAGAGGTGCAAAGCTGTGAGTCCTCTGTAGTTGTTGGATTACCTGATAAATTCTGGATTCAAATTTTATTTTGGACTTACTTAAATTACTAAAGTAACCTTCACTTTTTTGGTTGATATTTATGAGCATTTTCTATATTATGAGCATAGAGATTGACAAAGTTGAAAAGCACACAATGAGAATCTAGGCACAAAAGAACAACATGCTGGGTGACACTTACACAGTTCTAGAAAAAAATAAGCCCTAATTTCTACTAGAGAGCGAGTGAGGGAAAGCCTTTTTGGGGTTGAAAACGTGTTCATTATTTTATGTGGTGATAGTTTTCATAGAAAATGCTAACATACCTCAAATTGGAACTGGAGAGTTGCCTAAGTGGTTAAGAACACTGACTGTTCTTCAAGAGGACCCAGGTTCTTTTTTTTTTTTTTTTTTTCAGCACTCAGCAACTCACTGTAACTCCAGTTCCAGGGGATCTGACACTCTCACAAACATACAAGCAGGCAGAACACCAGTGAAATAAAAAAATAAATCATAAAAAATTGTTAAAAAAAATCTCAAATTGTGTCCTTTCATGATTTTGGTTTATATACATCCACCCTTCAGCCTCTAAAAAGCTCTAAACATGGGGGGCTGCTGCAGTCTGTGTGATTCCATTAATATAAAGTGTAGTCACTAGCCTTTGGTGGCAGAAATGTCAGTGGCTGGCTTTCAGATAGGAATGGACTGCTGAGTGGCAGAAGGGTGATGGAATTTGTGAATTGCACTACAAAAAGATTTAATTAAAAGTTGAAAAATGGAAACTCAGTAGGGTGGTGGTGACACATGCCTTTAATCCCAGTGCTCAGGAGGCAGAGGCAGGTGGATCTCTCTGAGTTTGAGGCCAGCCTGATCTACAAAGTGAGTCCAGGACTACACAGAGAAACCCTGTCTTGAAAAACAAAACATAAAGTAAAATGAAAGCCCAGGCCCCACAGCCATGAAGATTTGTAGAGTTTGTTTGTTTGTTTTGTTTTGGGAGTATGTTTGTTTATTTTGTTGGGTTTTGTTTTTGTTTTTTGAGACAGGGTTTCTCTGGGTAACAGCCCTGGCTGTCCTTGAACTCTCTTTGCAGACCAGGTTGGCCTTGAATTTACAGAAATCTACCCGCCTCTGCCTCAAAAGTGCTGGGATTAAAGGCTTGTACCACCACACCTGGCTAAGATCTGTGTTTTAAAGGAGTTTTTGAGGACAGAGCACTTCATGATACAGCATGGCTCTGCTCCTACCATCCTTGTGTCCATAGTCTGAGAAAAGTCAAGAACTTCTCTCCTCCCTGAATTTTAGAGATGTTCTATGGGTGTGAGTCTTCTGCAGCTAACAGATTACTTAATAATTGTTTTAACTGGCTTAAGTTACAAACATAACCTTATTTACTATTATGCCTGATGGCTAATATTGCTGAGAATTTATGAAATTGACAAAGAACGTTTATGACATTGCTGGGAAGTGGTTACTATCATTAGCCCCATTTAACAGACAATGAAAATGAAGGTGAAAACTTCATCTAGTTTTGGAACAGAGGCCCCAGGTTTTTCATACCCTCCCTGGGGTTAGAAAGGTGGTGCTAGGGGTAGGGGCAAACTATCGTTTTAGAATGGATGGTTTGGAAAATCTCTGTGGAAGAGGATCATTGAGCAAAGACTTGATTTCTGTAAGAGTAACCAAATGTACCTCTACAAAGAGTACTCCATGTTAAATGGAAGAGTAAACGCAAAGTCCTTGCTTGGGATGAGAGAGCCCAGGAAGCCAGCAGGGCAAGAACTCAGTGGGGACAGATAAGAGCAGAGGGAAATGGCAGGTGTTGTGGGACCCACAAAGAGGTAGGGCCATGGTAAGGTCTTGGGGCTTATTGAAATGATAGGAGCAGCTCCACTACTTATAGCTACTCCTTTCCCATAAGAGAGCTGAAGCTCGGTTATGCTAAGAGCTTTCCTGCCCCTACTTCCCCCCTCCCATCCCCTGCAAGTGAGCAGTGTGAAGGTTGAAGCTGGACCTGGGAATCTAGCCACCATCCCCATGCTTGAGAACACCCCCCCCCAAAAAAAACCAAAACAAAAAAAACATTACTCTGGGTCATGAGAAGGTGTGTGTGTGTGGGGGGGGGGTCTGGCTTGTAGAGCAAGATTATGGGGAATAGAAGAGAGAAGGAATAAGAGAAGAGCTGATAGCGTTAGGGGCTTGGGTAAAGTTAGAGGGAGGGATAAAGAGGGTTGTTCTGGGCTGCATCGTGTGGAACAGTGATTATAATAGGGTGAGCTGAGGGTGAGCATGGACTAAGGATGGTAAAGACACTAGTACCAGGATATGGGGGAGGGGAGCTTCTGAGACAAAAGAATGTTGATGACATGCCTGAGGTGAATACCTCAATGGAGTGATGTTGGAGCAAGGACACTGGGAAGGACCAGGGCAGACAAAGCAGCTAGTCGTGGAGCACCTCTGAGTAACAGAACTGCAACTCCAAGGACTCTTCATTATCTATTTTTATCATCTCTGAGACCAAAATCTGACAAAAAGGAATTTGGGGGGGGAAATTTATTCTGGCTCACAGTTGAGAGGAACGCAGTCCCTGGTGGTGAGGTGGACATGGCCATGGAAGTAGCGGAGACAGCGTGCACTTCCTAGTGGCTTCCTTCTTTTCTCTGCCTGGGGACTCATGGGATGGTGCCACCCACACACACAATGGATCTTCCCTTCTCAGGTTTCTTTGAAAGACATGCCCAAGCACGTGCCTCATTAATATCCTACGAAATTCTTCTTTTCCTCCTGTCTTGTTTTGTTTTGAGACAGTTTCTCTGTGTGGCCCCAACTGTCCTGGAACTCACTCTGTAGAACAGGCTGGCCTCAGAGGGCTAGCAGTAAAGGCGTGCCCACCACTACCAACTGGTGCCCTAGATATTTCTTAATCCAATCCAAGACTGATGAGTATAGTCTCCATGAGAAAGGAACTTTTTGTACTGCCTAACACGCCATTCACAATTAAGCTGTATGAGAAAGACTATGTCTCCATTTTATGGAGAAGAGGGGTTTGCAAGCTGAGTGCCTGAAAGAATTCCTCAGAGCTGTTTAAGCCCAGATTGCTCGCCTCCT